GAGAGAGAGAGAGATGGAAAAAAATCACTCTGCGCAACGTTTACCGCTGTTCACATGTACGCTGCATTAGTGTTAGCTTTGAGACTTACAGAATCACAGCTTCTTGATGTTCGATGAACTTTGAGAAAATGATTGGTAGAAGAAAAAGAGAACGAAGTATGCGTCGTGCCTAGACGCCAGCAACGATTCTGAGCGATTCTTTTCAACGTTGATATAGATATCATACTTTCATAGTCTAACCTGTGGAAATATCATTGTTATCTGATACTTGAGTTAGGTTTTTATTTCGATATTCTATTTGGTCGCTAGTTCTATGTCATTGATAATTAAGCTAATGTTCTATGTGTTCAATTATTCATGACTTACTGGATGGTCAATGATTATCAAGCTTAGTTTTCTCAAATGAATTGTAAAACAAGGAAGAGATTGGAAATAGAGGCTTAGATTTTCATTTCTCTAATCATATTAATGAATAAAAACTATCACCACCAACTTATGTATAATATATGTTTAGATTTTTAAGATAAAGGAGCCGATATTTTATGGTGGCGCTTGAAGTTATCGTTTTCTCTTATCAGTTGTCATAACTCCTAGCAACAAGATAATTCTTTTCTAACTTAATGCTTATTTTTCAAAATCTTGACATCTTCTTAATTTATCTCAAAATCTAAAATGAAGAGTATTCAGTGGATAATTCTTTTCTCTTTATAGTTACGATATAATTTATTGATTAACAAATTATCTCGAAAAAGAAATGACAAAAACATCACGAAACCAATAATCCTCAAAAGAAAAAACAATGAACATATCTATTTTTCTTTATGTCACTTGCGAGAATTTTATATATTCGAAGATCAAATTATTACTTGATAATCAAATCGTTTTTCTACTTGAAAATATCATGTGTGGAAGAGAGACATAAATTTGAACTGAATATATCTATAACTGTCAAGTCTTATCTATAAAAGTACGAGTTAGGTTGATCATAGACAAATCTATTCTTAATAATTTTATTGATAAATATCAATCTATGGATATGTATGTAGTGGCGTATCCAGGATTTTTTGGTATGCTGGATTTCAACTTCAGAGCATGGGACCCACGTGAAACTTATAGAGATATGATATTGGGTCCAAATGATGAGTTTTTATCAAAAGATTTTTGTAATGGGAGTTTGCGAAAAAAATTAGCACTTTCCTGAACCTCACCAAGATTTTTCTTTCTCTATTAGTAGTATTCTGATTTTTAGAATTTAATAGTAAGCTACATCGAAATTCATCAGCAGATTTCCAATTTCACCTAAAAATATGCATCCGTTCACGAGTTACAATGTTTCGAATTTTTTCTAAAATTTTAGCAGCATGCAGCAAATTTCCAAAACATTATAACTTGTGAACGGATGCATATTTTTAAATGAAATTTGAAATCTGTCGATGAATTTCGATGTAGCTTACTATTAAATTCTAAAAATCAGGATACTACTAATAGAAAAAGAAAAATCTTGGTGAGGCTCAGGAAAATGCTAATTTTTTTCGCAAACTCCCATTACAAAAATCTTTTGATAAAAACTCATCATTTAGACCCAATATCATATCTCTATAAGTTTCATGTGGGTCCCATGCTCTGAAGTTGAAATCCAGCATACCGAAAAATCCTAGATACGCCACTACTCTGTAGACATTATAAAGATGAGCAAGCGTTCGCCTTTCAACCTTTTTTCTGGTTACGTCATTACTTATTCACTAAATTAATATCCAATCTGTAACAGATTAATAAAATCGTTATTAAATTTTTCTTTAAATGATCGGTGAATACTAACGACATCTATTTCAAAAATTTTTATATAATTAAAAAAAAAGTCTAAAACTTGCTGCTAATTTTCTTTCCAATTTATTTTAAAATCAAATTTAAAATTTTCATAAAAATCTCAACAAAAAATTTCATTGCACATGAATTTGTAAAGATATTCTACGGATAGATTTAATTGTTACATTTCACAAATAGATTGCAAACAAGTCACGAAAGTACTGATTATATTTATCATAGAAGATAAATGGCCGATACAACAAAATCAGTCTGGATTGAAAAATTAAAATCAGCTAAAAAAGCTGGTCTTCTTCAAAATGGTATTATTTTATTTCTTTATTAAAATCTTTATAAAAAATATATTTCAAGATCGAAAAAAAATTCATTATACATTCGATGATCAAACAGAAATGGTAGAAGAATATGATGCAAAAACTAATCTACTTTTAAGTATGATAAACTAAATTCTATAAAAAATAATACTCTAATTTCAAAAAAAAAAAACAAAACTAGTTCGAAAATGGCGTCAAAAATCAAATAGTGGTTTAAAAACTCTCGCTTCATCAGATGTATGGACATTTGAAATTGGTCAAAATTATGAAACACGACCAATTGCAGATAATACACTTGGTATGACAGAAAGTACTACAACAGTAAGTATTAATTTTTCTATTAAAAAAAAATAAAAACAAAGATTTGTTTTTTTTTAGCCAATGTTTTCACGTAATGATAAAAATGATTCTTTTGAAATTCGTATACGAAATTTACCATATTCAATTGATATATATCAATTAACAATTGATAAAGATAAACGAGAATTTATTTTACGAACAACAAATAAAAAGTAAAATAAAACAATTTATGAAAATCAAAATTCTTTTTTTGTTTGATTTTCTTTAAGATATTTTAAACGTTTTTCAATTGCTGATCTTGATCGATTAAATCTTCCATTAGAAGAAAATAATTTATCATATTCTCATGCAAATAATACATTAATTATAAGTGTAAGAATAAAAAAATTTTTTTTTTTTTTTTTTTCATTTAATTTATTAAATATATTTCATTTTATTTTAGTATAAAAAACCAAAAGCTATTCTTGACTTAGAAAAACAAGTACATGATGAATTAAAAAAATTAAATATGAAAAAAGAGGGTGATAGTGATTGTCCTGTCAGTTAATAAATGATCTTTTTAATGTGATATTTAGAATGAATTTCATTTATTTGTTTTCGTTTTTTTTTAAATAGTTTTATATTGTAGATGTAATTTATAGACAAAAAAAACAATGTTATTTCAACGAATTCTGTTGACAAAATATAATCCTTCAACATATTTTAAATTTATTCGTCTTGTAGCAACATCATCAGTACAAATTGAATTAAAAGATGGACTTGCAAATATAACAGTACCATTACCAAGTAGAGGAGAATCATGTGTTTTTCAAGTAAATAATGACTTAATTATGTAAAAAATTTTTGAATACTTCTTTTTTTTTTATTAGTTAAAACCATTTAATACAACAGTTGGAGATTTTATTGATATATTACAAAAAGAAGATCGAGGTATTGATCGAGCATCTATATATCTTTCGGATGGATCTCGTCTTTCACGAAATTCACCTTTTGATTTAATATTTGAAGAACCATTTACATTACGTATTAATGAAATATCATATAATGTTCAACCACCAACATTATTTACTGCAAATAAATCAGCTCGAGATATGCTTTCTGATGTATCAAATTCAGTTACAAAACTTTATCATGATTTACATCTTAATCAATATATTATGTATCGTGAACATGAATTAGAAAAACAATTAGCTTTTTTACGTGATTCTGTTCAACCACTTAATGAAATTCATCATCAACTTGCTAATAAAGCTATTCGACGTTTAAAATGGTTAGTAATTCTATACTTAAAGTCACACAAGGGAAGTGTTCTCTCGACGTCGAGCTCATATTTTGCCCACAAGTAGATCTCACTGTCAGTAGCTAAAACCTAAAAGGATTTGTACCCATGGGCTGCTAAAGCCGACTTATGATCATTTTACTGGATTTTCAAAATCAGGCAAGACAATTCATGGAAAAATCAAACAAATGCTTTATCCTTAAGATATTAGACGGTCAAAAAAGAAGTCAGAAAATTTAGTATTTCAAGAATAAAGCATTTGTTTTGGCTAAAATTCATAGGATATTCTAATAACCATGAGATCTCTTCATGGGCAAAATTTTAGGTCCAAATGCCATCATTTGATTTTCCATGAACTACCTTGTCTGATATTGAAAACTCAGTAAAATAGTCATAAAGTCAGCCCATATGTACAAATTTTTATAGGATTTGGCCACTGACATTGAGATCTACTTGTAGGCAAAATATGAGCTCCGAAATCGAGAAGACACTTCGGGTACTTCCTTCGTCAGCTTCTTTAAATAGAATAGACAAAATATGTTTTATAAATAGAGTATTAGCTTGCTTATGTTTACTTCAGTAATAATGTCATAGAAAAGAAGGATTGAATGACAAGTGATGCTCTGATTTTTTTTTTGATTTCTATTGGTAACAAGTTATTTATTTGTCTTCAAGGCATTCTATAACCACTGAAGACATTTAATCCATAGATCAAAGACGGAACGAATGTTTCTATTTTCTTAACCAATCAATAGTTCATGAAATTTATTAGAAAATACTTTTTTTTTATAACTTTGAAATTCTTTACATCGTTTTTTTTTTTCTGCATTCGATCTAGAAAATAGAGTTACCCGAAGGAAATAATGATTAATAGATGTATATATGCTATTCTTTCTTGACTGATAGGCATTGTTTGCTCTAGCAAATCATAATAATGATTGATCGAAACAAACAATGATTAAACTTTTTTTGTTAACAATAGAAACGAGTTTGATATAAAAACATGTGAACTACAAGAAAAAATTTCCCGTGGTCGAAACTCAAACTCACAGTAAAATATCCTATGGTTTTAAGAAAATTATTTCATGAATTAAAAAAAAATGCTAACCATTGACTAAATCAGCAAAAAAACAAAACGAATTATTCAATCAATAAATCTTTGAATTGGTTTTTTTTTGTGTACTCAAAAAGTGAGTACACTATAGAATCAGTCAGTGTGTCCGTCCGGCCCGGCCGTTTACACGATAACTTTCGAAAGGAGAGTGAGATCGTGATGAAATTTTCTACACAGTTCAGTTTCATCAATGTCTCGGTCGAGTTCGAAGATGAGAAGGATCCGTCAAGAAATGGCTGAGTTATCCAAAAAAATTGTCATTATTGGCCAGACCATCCCTGAGGGGGAGTACAGGGATTTTTTCAAAAAAAAAATTTTTTTCTCAGAATTATTCACAACATATATAAATCGACTCAGTTTTTAACGCTGATTCCGAATTTGATATTAGTTTTGAACCAAATCGTAGCTTTCTAACAAAACATCGCCTGAAAAAGGTCTCAAAATGCACAAAAACTGCATCCAGAAAGCAAATTGCCTAGATATGTCTTAGATGATAAAAAACAAAGTGAATATACCTGTTCACTTTTTGAAGTACACCTAAGACTCGGATTTAAATCCGAGGTTTTCGCATTTTTTCTAGACTACGACCAACAGAAAAGAAAGGTCTGAGATCGTTCCGATAAATAAAAAAAGCTACCGAAATCGAACTTCAAAAAAATTTTGATTCCTACACATCTTAGAGAAAATCAAAAGTTGTAAGATATAATAAATTTCATTAAGTTTTCTTTCTTTTTTGCAGTTAATATTCTAGTTCAAAATAATATATCTAAAATTTTATTATTTAGGATACAATGGTCGATTTTTGCTGCAATGTCATTTCAAACTGGTATTTTATTTCGTTTAGTATGGATTGATTACAGGTATATTAATAATAATTCCATAAAACAAAAGCAATTTTATTTCATAAATTTTTCTATATTTTAGTTGGGATATAATGGAACCTTTTACATATTTTATATCGTATTCAGCTGTATTTTTAGGTTATTGTTATTATATACTTCGTCGAAATGATATGAAATATATGAATATGTCTGATTATTTTTATTTAAAAATTTTACATCGTTTATTACAAAAGAAAAATTTTGATTTAATACGTTATAATGCATTAAAAGATGAAATAATGATGATTGAACATGATCTTCAACGACTTAAAGATCCATTAGATCGTATTATAGGAACATCATAAAAAAAAAAAAAAAGATTTATTATTTTTATTTTTTATGTAATATTTTAATCAGTATTGTCGTTTGTTTTTTTGTATTTATTATTTTAGATAGGAAAAAAAAAAAGAAAGAAATCAATTCAATTTTTTTAGGGACATAAAATAATATTGATATAAATATATTTTAATTTTTAGTCTTGTTTTTATATATATCTATTGAAATATGGGTCGAAAAAAAAAGAAACAAACAAAACCTTGGTGTTGGTATTGTAATCGTGAATTTGATGATGAAAAAATTCTATTACAACATCAAAAAGCAAAACATTTTAAATGTCATTTATGTCATAAAAAATTATATACCGGACCCGGTTTACAAATTCATTCAATACAAGTATAATTTTAAAAAAAATAATATTATTATTTTTATTTAAAATAAATATTTTTTTATTTAAGGTACATAAAGAAAATATTGATAAAGTACCAAATGCAATTAAAGGTCGAGATAATATTGAAATTGAAATTTATGGTATGGAAGGTATACCAGAAGAAGATCTTCGTGCACATGAAAAACGTCTTTCGGGAAAAGATAAAGATGAACCAGATACAAATGATAATATTAAAGTACCTCAATCAATTGGTATGCCACCAATGCCACCAATAGGTATGATGCCAACTGCACCAATGATGCCAATGGCTTTTCCTGGTATGCCATTTGGTATAACACCTATGCCATTACCTATGATGCCTCCTGTATCAATGATGACATCATTACGACCACCACCAGTACCTATGATTCCACCAACATCTGGTAATTCAACAACAGCAAATCTTATTCCAACTAAACCATTATTTCCAAGTGGAGCTACTGATGTTTGTTTTAATTGAAATAAAAAAATAAATTTTTATTTTTAATAGCATTTTTTTTTAGACAAATAATGATACAAATTCATCATCTAATTTAACAACAATGGTATCAGCTGCAGCAGCTATATCAAATTTATCAACTACAACATCTGGATCATTACCTGGTAATAGAGGAAAAATTGAACCTGTTGCTGGTACAGCAAAAATTATACATCCAGATGATGATATATCATTAGTAAAATTTTAAATATTTATAAAATAAAATAAAATCATTTTTTTTTTGTTTTTCTCTAGGAAGAATTTCGTGCTTCATTACCAAAATATAAACAAATGATGATGCCACAACAAATGCAAATGCCACCAATGCCTGCTGGTCTTTCAATGGCTAATTTTGTTCGACGTATGTTTTTTTTTCTTCTGTTCGTTAAGTATTTTTTTTTTGTTTTAGCTCCAATGGGTGGTCTACCATTTATGGCTCCACCAGCAGGTTTTCCACCTATGGGATATAATGGTCCACGTTTTTGATCTTACCAAAAAACAAAAAATAAAACAATGTACGTGGATGTTTTCCTTATTCTTCTTTTTTTTTTTTGTTTTCCTATAAACAAAGATGAACATTTCTCAATTTTTGGTTTCATATTCTCTTTTTCTTCTGTTGCAATCAATGTTTTCTTCTCTCATTCTCTCTGATTGGATTAACTTTGTTTTTCTTTTCTTTTTTTCTGTTACTTAAGTGTTTTGTTTCATTATGTCTATGTGTATGTTGATAAAAAAAATTATTGAAGAGAACATTGATATTATATATATATTTATTTATTTATTTATTTATCTGCCTTGTTCTAGGCTGCTTACATGTGAATGATATGCTCGTGCGACGACAGACATAGACTCAAAGTCAGGTCGGTCTCTCACACGATGTCGAGTCACAGTAGCAGCAGCAATCTATATAATTTATTTTATAAAAAAAAAAACGTTTTTTTTTCTTTTTGCTGCACGCGCTGTTGGGCTACTTGATTGAGTAAGCCCCTAAGAGAGATGATTATCTCTCTTGGTGACAAACATTTAGTTGAAAAACGGCGATCTTTTTTTTTCTTTTCTTATCTTTATTTAATTATATTATTTTTGTTTTTCTTGATTGATTTTATAGGAGCAAGGTATAATATGTTTACCTTTTTTTTGGGGTAGGTAAATCTTTTTGAGTAATCGGTATATTTTACATATCTTTATATAATAAGCTTTCTTTTTTTTCAATATTTTCATAAAGTTTAATATATATATTGGTTTTGTGGATGTAATTAATTCAATGGTTTATATATTCATTGAAAACAATATATTTTTTTACATGTTATTAGTCCAAGCATCGTATTATGTTGTATGACAATCGGTTATTGTTAAGTAGTTGGGAAATAACAGCAGATAAAAGGACTTAATATTCTATTGGTTATTGAAACTTGTGAAGAATTTGAAAGACAGAAGTACATATACGTTCAATAATTCAATTTTGGTATGTCGCTTCATCCTATGTATCTTCGTTCTTATATTTGATTCTGATACGATTAGTCAACTACTCAATTGTTTATTTGTATGTTGAAAAAAAAATTTTTTATATTAATTTATGAAATGAAACTTTCCTTTTTCTTTCTTTCTGATTCTTCCTAGGACGTTAGTAATCAACAGCTACTTCCTTGTAAAATAAAGTGTCCATGATCATTTTTCATTATTGTCAAATATTGTAGCTGGTAGGAAGAATGTTTTTCTAGGCTGGGTTTTTATACCTATGATTAATCACAATAAGAATTTTTCTTTTTATTGGGAATAAAAAGTATTTCAATGGAAGATGTCAGATAGTACTTCAATCGAATGTTATGACTTGTTAAATATGCAAAAAAAAATACAAAATAGTATTTTTTTTTTATATATATTAGCATGCGTAACATATCGATAGGTGATGTGATGAAATTAAATTTACTTTAGCAATAAAATTATTCAATATGATGAAATAATGAATATTCTATATTGGAACTTTTTTTACAATTGTAAAATTATTATTGATGGGAAAAAAGTTGGAGAATTCTTTTGATGAATTATGTTATGATTTTCATTCAACATGATTAAAACTATGTTATTTTATCTTTTCATTAACATAATTTAGAAGCAATGAATTCATATTATAATCCTATAGGATTTCCGAGACAAAAAAAAATGGTCAATGATTCTGTCAATTATTTCATTAGAAAAGTTAACTGATTATTATTTCGTATGATAATGTTTTTTTGAACATAATACAAATGTGTAAAAGTAAGAATATGATATTATTTGATTATTAACAAGAATAATATTAAGAGAAACATTCCTAATCATAGTGAAATAGAATAAAAGATGGTAACAAATTAGCGATGGTATTTACAATAGATTATGAAGAAAGATATAATAAAGAATGACGAACATTTCTTGAAAGAATTTTACGTTTATATAGTAGTTCAATCATCATTTGACTGATACATTGTAGAAACATAAATATTCAACTAGACGTACAAAAGAGAACATGTTTGATTATCTATTTGTCAATAGAAGGAAGAATACATTAGTTACAATCAAATGCAATGGACATTGTAATAATCAATCATGAAACTATTCACATTTAGCAAAGCGTTCAAAGAAAATGAAATCAAATTTAAGATGTTGACATTTGCTTAGTTCTCATCAACACTGAACCAGTGGAGTCTATATGACATTTTCACATTTATTTAATATTCTAAATAATCTTTGTGATACTTCTATATATCATTGATAAAACGATCATGAAGATGATCGACTGAATTCGTCGTAGATGTATGAATGTGGGTGTGAGTGTTGATGTGACTGAAGATCTTTTGCGATATCTACACTCACATCCATCATCATTTGCCTACTTTTAGATGCTCCTTTAGGATACTTTGATATCAAGATTTCATGCAACGAATTGTTTCAATTGCAGAAGAATCATCCTACTAGGCTTTCATTAAAAATCTTCAAAGAAAACGAGCTCATATCCATGGGATTTTCAGCATTGTAAAGAAGCCTAAGAAAATAAACCGCAATAGTTAGTTTCTATTTGAAAACTTCACTGATAACAGATTTGATAGTACTTATTATCTTTTGAAAGTGTTCATTGAAAAATGTATGAGTGTGAGTCTTTGCTTGACACTTCCACCAATGAATACATCGACACCCAACTAACAAAATTACCAACTGCGATAGTAATCAATCCATTTGGTAATGAAAAAAAAACAATGCAAATAAAATGCTACGAATCATGTTTTTATCTAGACCAGTTTTTGATTATAAATTCATTTGACGATATTAGAATTCACGAAAAAATATTGTCTGTGAAAATAAAATGATTCAGATAACTAGTCACGGCTTAAAAAGTTATCGCCCATAGTCAGAATTTCTTGCCTATGCTACTCAACATTTGATACATAAAAATGCACTTGTCTTGAAAGCTTTTGTAAGAAAATGATATTTTTTTTACAAATGTGTTATCTTTTGAGGAAACGATAACACATTTGTAAAAATATTCTTTCATAAATAATTATCTCTTTATTTTCTGAAACTTAAAATTTGTAATTTAATATTTCAGAACCGATGGATGAGGATATAAATAAATTTGACAACATTCATAGCACATCTGATGTATCTAATAGAAGAAAATGTTCATTGACTGTTTATGATTGTCGAAACATCGAGGTAGTTGTAAAACAAAAACAGCTGAATGATATTAAACTTTTTTTTTTGTTGTTGTCTATATATTTATAGCTCAATGAGAGTTCATTACAAGAACATTATACTTCAGAACAGCATCAAAAAAGTCTTGTCAGATGTGCTCAGTCAATTATGGTAAGTACAAATGATGTCTTTTCCAAAGCCGATACAGATATGGAAGAAGGGAAAACTTTATTAATGAAAAATTATGAAAAATTATCCATAGTAGCAACAAATATTGAAACAATTGATAATCAATTGACACAAATATATGTTCAAATGCTTCAATGTCATCAACAAAATACAAATCTTCATCAAGAATTGAATAATATGAAGATAATAAATTCCTTAGAAAAATCATATCTTGATACAATATTACTTAATCAAAATATTTTAATGCAAGATATCACAATGCT